GCTAAAGAATATCACGGCTTCATCCAAATTTCTATAAACATCTACGATCAAATACGATCAAATACGACATTTTAAAAAGAAAAGCATTTTAAAATTATGGAGGAATATCAAAACTCGTATTTTGCTTTTAGCGGTTGCTCCTAATCGTGTTAAACTAATAACGTCCAAAAGGCCAAGGAGATCAATTTTTAATCATCATAATGCGTTCCTACATTCCGGAAGCGCCGAGTCACTTGGGACACATAAATGTGTGCATGCGAAAAAGAGTATATGTGTGTGTGGGTGTATATGTGTGTGCGTGTGTTTGTGTACGTATGTATGCTGACATGACAATATACTGAATGCATATTAATATATTTCTCTTATATGTGTTTTCTACATATGCGTGTATATGCATAATTTCTCTGTTCATGTTAGATTTATTTCATCTGTCTATTAGTATAGATAGATAGATATGTATGTATGTAGCTTAATCATAAAAGGTGTTTATTTTACATAAATATTTATTTTTCAACATACTCTCCTTTATCAACCTAGTTAACCCAATATTATAATTTTCCATTTCACGGAGATTTTCTATTATACAGTGAAAATTTCAGATCAAAATTCAATAATTGTAGCAGGCTAGTAATTTCTTGATCCAATCTCGTATATATTGTAGTGTTCGGATGGTAAAGTCGTATTTTAGGAGACAAAATAAAAACCTGGTCAAATCTAATAAAAGTGCAATTTAACAATCCAGAATATTATCATAATTATTTATGACCAAAGAACAATACAAATCACATTCTTTTAATTATCACTGAAAAACATGAACAATATCCATATTTCAAATAAAATACTACGCAGGGAAAAACTTAGTAAGCAGTCAATGAAATATGTTAGGTATAGTCTCTAATGAGTTCTTAGAATATATAAAGAAAAGCAAGGCTGATCATTATTTTCAGTAACACGAGAAACATTGGCAAAAACAGATTGTCCAGATTGAGTGATTAAAAAATGTTGACAATGGAAATAGGATTCTTAAAATTGATATTGTTTTTCCACCTCTTCAAATAAACTAGCGAATATTTTTTATACACTTCATTTCTTTCTTAAAAGTTCCTATAAGACGCTGTTGTTTAAGCTAATCAAATTTCTGGCAGTCCAGACTGTGGACCGGGTAGTGAGAAAAAGTAATATACTTTGGTTCAGAAAAATAGACATATAATATCCTCAGAACGAATTAACTGATACGAGTTATTTTCCATAGCGTGGACAGCGGGAGGCGAACTATCTTCCCCGTGGATTGAATAAAGAATTAGTTTTGAAATTCACAGACGGTTCAGAGACATAAAGAAGGTCAGATGATACACTGATAATCCAAAATGAGTAAAGTGGTCCGAACAAATGATAAAAGTATAATAATATAATAATAAGATATAATAATGCTAAAAGCTCATCTCAAAATTTTAAATCAAAATTATTAGAAAGTATATTTACTATTTTGTGATTCATCGCAACAAAACGAACCTGTTGGATTTTCCTGACTTATTTGGTTATTGGTTAAACAGTGGATAAAGTCTGTTGGAATTAGATCCAGTGAAACAAACCCAAGACTCAATTAAAAGTTCAAGTTTTCCTGGTTAGAGGCATTGTATATGATTTATGAACTTGAATATTTTATGGAAAATTTTATTTAAAGGAAAAAACATTGCTATTTTTAATATGACTGTTCCATATGAAACATGGCACTGTGGAATTAGAACAGTCTGAGGCTTCCTCAGATTATATCGATATATAAATAAAGGGTTCAGTTCGAAATTCCATTCCATATTAAAGATAAAGGCCGGAGCTGCGTACAACAGGATGACAGAACAAAACGTGACTTTTAAACAAATATGGCGACAAAGACCGAGGGACAATAGTCCGACTAATGTATTAATGAAATACTGTACAGACAAACCTCTATATTAATCTTAAGAAATTAATGAACAAACTCTGAATTATATTAATTAATAAATTAATGAATTACTTGAAACAAACAAACACATGAATAATATGAATTAAATTGATTAATGAATATATTAATGAATTAGTATTGAAACAGACACAGACATGAATATATTAATGAATTAATATTAATTAATGAATTATATTAATGAATTATTAATGAATTAATATTGAAAGAGACACACACACGAATATATTTCTTTCGATCTGATCTGAGGAAGCCTATCTAACGATGGTGAAACGCGTAATCAAGTCTATAAAACTGTTTCCCATTTTGTTAAATTTATCAAACTTTGTCTGGATTCTAGATCCTATGTATACACATTATGAACTGAGTAAAAAAGCATTAAATTTCAGGGTTTCAAAATATGGTAAATATATACAAAAATTTGGAAAACTACTTTGATATGGTTTGGCGATAAACCGGAATCATCAGAAAATGAATTTTATTTCAGAAGAATAAAATTACATTTGCGAGACAAAACGTGTTTCACATTAAGCGACTGAACCCTTGGTGTTCTACCCGACGAACCCTTTCGTTATAGAAATTAGATTTTAACTAATTTCGACTTCGTTTTTGTAATCATTTCTCAGCTGAAATTAGTTAAAATCTAATTTATATAACGATTGGTTGATAGAGTTCAGCGGTATAATATGAATCACGTTTTGTCTAGTTCCAAAATATGTAAATAAATTAGAAAATTGTATTTATGATTTTGAAAGGATATATTTATTTTCTTTAAATTGAAACGATTGGATTTTAGTTTCCGTGTTGATATTATTGTCTTTTCCAAAAGTTTCGCGAGTTGTAATGATTTTCTAAGCGCAGCTTAGATATGGCACAAGGTGAGATCGAACTCACTATTCAGTCGTAATTTTTCCAGCGAGACAAGCTTGTTAACCATTACACCACCTCGAGGTGCCAACGCCTCAGGTATCGTATATGACATCTTTTGCTTGTGATTATTTGCAGTTGCTGTTGTAATCATTTGAAGAAAACTTTATTATTCTACTTTATTTGTCTTATATTTTCTCATGTTGGCTTTTTACATGGAACATATATTTATTTTAAAAGAACAGATTTAATCTTTGAAGTTATTGTTTTAACTGCGTTAATTTATACCCTGAATATAACAATAAATAATCAATACCCGACACAATATAATATAGTATCTTTTTCCCATCATTGGAAATGTAGGTTTACATTTGTTATAGACGCTCGTAAAAATTTACCCGCGTTTTCCTGTTTTGCCTAACACATCCGGGTAGTCCGCCACCGACAATGAAATTTGTCGTTGTCGAAACAGGAGACTTACTAACCGAGTATCATTCCTCAAAACAAAACTGCCTCATTACTCTAACAGGATTACAGTCCTGACGTCAACCAGAATATACTATTTGGGGATGACTCTATAAAAAACATCCGATTTTGATTCATATACCTTATCGGTTTGGCATGAGTTTTACTCAGCACTAAAAAAAGGTCACATGATTCACTTTGCATATGTTAAGTAACAAATAAATACTAACCATATGCAATATGAAAACGCAATCATGTACACGAACGCGCACACACACACATATATATATATATAATATAAAAGGCTCAGACACTAATATTCCATGGGTATAATTTATTACATTATTACATTCTTATAATATATTACATTATTACATTGGAATCGTAATCACAATCCAATTCATCAGGCCTACTTTTGAATTTGTAGGTCCGGTGGTTTGGATTGTGATTACGATTCCAATGTAATAATGAGATATTATAAGAATGTAACTATGTAATAAATAATAACCATGGGATATTAGTGTTTAAGCCTTTTATATTATATTTTTGCTCTGTACTGTACATTGAGCTCTACCTGGATTTTATCCTTTTGTAAATATATATATATATATATATTGACCACTAATATATATATATATATATATATATATATATATATATATATATATATATTATGATATAATATATATATATATATATATATATATATATATATATATATATATATATGGAAAATCAAAAGCAAAACAAACCCAACAAAAGTAACATGGCAAATACAAAAAAAAAGCACCACTAACTTATAAGAGATAATAGCAATAATCACCTTTCACAGCAAAATAAACTACTGAAAAAAATATCAAAACTCATTTCCAAATGCGGATGCGGAATCAAATTCCTACTGTGCTACCTACAACAATAACTTGACCACAAAGGCTTCAAAGCATTCATATTACCTATAACCAAATAATCTAAATCAGACACAAATTGTTTCAAAACTTAGACCTAAAGAACGAATATACAAAATGAATACATAAGTGAAATATGTAATTCAATAATTCAATTAAAAGAAATAAAATATAAGGAAACTAAAAGACACTTTATTTAAATGTGTTGTTTATTAACGAATTTTCTGCTGTTTTTTCTATATTGTTGCAGTTTTTTAATAATTGCAGGATTATATTAACGTAAATAACGTGTTGTTTGGCATCTGGTTTTATTTTATTTGTTAAGGCACCCTCTGCTCTCTAAGAAGTACTGTTCTGCAAAAAGAAAAGCATTTAAATTAAAGTTTTAAAAAAGTTTCAAAATGCTTCCTTTATTCTTTCCGCCCTTCATCACACCGGAAACTTTTAATAATAACGGTAATCGATAAATAGAGGAATCCATCAATAATTATTACTTAATAATGATTAATAATAACTGATGTAATTTTAATGCATTATTCTATTAGCATTTAGAGTGGCTCCATTACAATATAATCAGATTATTTCCCTTTCGATATTCGCGGCTGAGCAGTTATGCCGTTTTTGATTGTTTCCTTTTCTTTTTTTCTTGTTCGTTAGTACAGACTTTCTAAGGCAAGATAAAATGTTATCTCCCGCTTCTACCTAAGATCTGTGAATATAAGTAATATATAGAGAGAGAGACACATAAAATGGAGTATCATATGGTTAAGGCGTGAAAATGACAATTACCATGCAATATTGAT